AATCGGGTCGAAATCGTTTTTGGCGTATTTCTACCAAAGAAAGCTGTATTAGCAGAAACTAACTATGGTCCGTTTCTATTCTTACTAGGACCTATCTATGGACAAAATACAAGCGAAATCAATTTTTTGACTTGTGCCATTGATAGGCGATTTAGGTCCATTTTTATAGGCATTTACTCTTAATTAGTAACCCAGCCTTGTAATTTCAAATCTCATGCTCATAACTTCAAATTACTCACACAATTACTTCCTGAACTGTACTCCACTCAGTCCTATTACTATTACTAAATTTATGTGCCTCATGTTATGTTCTGATTGATTCATACAGTAAAATTCTAGAGTTCATTAAAGCTGCCAACATGCCACTCACTGAACAAGTGTTTGCAGCTCTTGTCACAGCTTACGGTGCAAATGGGTAAGTAGTCCATGTACGTAATGATACACATGAAGATATTTTAATAATTTTAATTATTAAATATTGAATCATTGGATAATGCAATTCAAGTGTTTTCATTGGCTTAACCATCATGGTACACGAGCCATTGTACAGTACCGATCAGAAGAAACCTAACAGGGAACACTTGACCGAACGCGTTCTGTTTCTGTTCCACACACGTTCCCGTTCCCGTTCTGTATCTGTTCCATATCCATTCTGTATACGCTCTGTTCCCGTTCTGTATCCGTTCTGTGCTGTTCTGTTCCTGTTCTGTTAGCGTTCCATCGGTAAGTGTTCTTGGAACTCGTTCAGAGGAACGAGGTTTCTGAGAACTCATTTACAAGATTAGCGACACTCATTTGCATTTCATAAAATGGGTTAAAGCTGTTGCCTTTATGCAAGAATATGGACATTAAACTTAAATTTTCATGGTGAAAATATGAGTCCAGTTACTCGCAAAATATGGGAAGATGGTATTGTAACTTCAAGGCCAGTTTATAGTAAGTCTTTTTCTGAAGCGATACAAAGTAACCGGTAATTTGTGTGATTGCCTGAGGAAAGGAAGAAGTAAACCAGTTTGCCAAGCACTTTTAACGCCATCGATGAAAAAATGCAAGCAAAAGACGAACATTCGGCTCTTGCATTACATGAATACTTTTAGTGAGATTTAACGTTGAAGTATCGGCAAAAACTGTTCGGTGAATGCGGCAGAAACTTGGCTGCAGGACGTGAGCAGTGCAAAGTATTGACAAAAAGCCGAAGTGAGCATTTTGTGATACTTTCACTGATGTTATTTTCACAGGCGAATTTTCAGTTAAGACTGAACGTTATCCTCGCCAATCCTTCCGCAAAGTTGGTGAACAACTTAACACTGTAATAAAGTTTTGTTTCTCTTAACAAGGAAACCATTCAATCCCAGTCTAACTCGACTCGTCCATCCATTTCCTTATTTGGACATAAGTTGAGCTTGTTGACAATAACAAAATGGCCACAATGAACACGAAATGGACAAGAAGATGCAGGGAAGATGCTTACTTAGTAAGTGCAAAAAGAAATTAAAAAAAGACATAAGTTGATTCGTTCTGTCATTTTCTCAAGATCGCCAGGCTGGACAAAAATTGAACGAACATGTATTTTAAGTTACATCGTTTCCAAATCCTTGAAAAGCACTCTGATAGCGTAACTTACTAGCATGTGTTCTGAAGAAAGCGTTCTCTTATAGTTTGCATTCTGGAGAACGCTTTTTTCCATTTTTGTGATTCCTAACCATTCCATATCCGTTCCATTTCCGTTCGGTATCCGTTCTGTACCAATTCTGTATCTGTTCTATGCCCGTTCCGTTCGCGTTCTCGTACCCGTTCTGTATCCGTTCCATTCTCAATCACAAACGCGTTCCCTGTTAGGTATCTTCTGATCGGTACTGTAACAGGAAATCCCATGTGTGTATTCAAATGCAATATTCAGGTTTTGGACAGGTTTTGCTCGTGCCATCACTATGTTAACAGCTCGTGCTAGTTCTGTGTTTCTTTGGAGTTATAGAAACACGATTTTTAACCAATTAGCCCACATATTTTCTTAGGACTGTTTTCTAATCTGTTTTAACATCTTTTGCGAGGGATTGTATTCTGTACTAAGCTACTGTACATGTGCACTATACCAGGAGTACTGCAGCCTTTTCATAGTTTAAAGAGGTCTCGTTAGGGTCTCAATCTCTCTTTGCCTTTGGGCAAGAATTAAAAGCCTATGGAGCTTAACTTTACAAAAGAAAACCTGTGGTTAATTTAGATGCTAATCATTGTGGTTAATTTGCTGTCTTCAGAGATCCTGAGAGTGCCAAGGGTGTGTTTGACCTTATGAGGTATGCATATGTTCTATCAAATGGTGAATATGGTAGTGGCAAAAAACGTTGGACAATTCCAACTTCAGACAAAAAAGTGTGCGAAAATGGCAAACTGATGTCATGCTTGATAAATGAAAATGCAGTGTTGGTTGACAAACGACGTCAAGTACTGTACCACATGATTTGTGCTATTTTTTCACATCTTCTAAATATGAAACTATCCAAAGTATATTATATATACTTTCCATCAATAAATTTAAAGTATTGAAAATGGATTTATCATCGCATTTATACACACAACTTGAGCAGTTGGGAAATTAAAGCCTGAATGCAAGCGTGAACTTTTTTCAGGCTTTAATTTCACAACTACTCAAGACGGGTTGTGTGTGCATAACTGCAAAGATCAATCATGTCTTCATATCTTTCTCCTCAGTTCAAATATATGATCTTTCATAATTATATTCACTTCCAATGAAAGTACTGCAGTTATAGTTTTTAACAAAACCACTCTTGAATGTTTCTACAAGAATTTAGTTAATGGAAGATGTACACTGTACAATGTAGATTTCACTTTGCATTTACCAAAGGACACATACTAAAAAATAATTTGAAAACCACTGTCTGAAAGGCTTCAACATTCATTCCACTCATTCAGTGAGTGAGAAAATGAAAAATATATATATATCTTGGGAGCCAGGCTGGCACAAAGTGTGAAAACTTAGTCGCCAGTGAAAAAAATCCAGTCACATTGGAGACCCCAATGATTACAACGTTGAGCTCTGTAACAGAAAATTTCATCGTGAATTTTAATCCACATGCTTTCTTTTGGAATGTTTTTTCAATTTACATTTTTCTTAATTTTTTTTCCACAGGGAAAATGGTTTTGAGCCAGATTTGGACAGTTATGGCGCACTGTTAATTGTTTACGGTGAAGCTGGAAACTTGGAGGCCATAGTGAAGGTTTTTATCATCTAAATGAATCAAACATTGGTTGATATTATCATGTACATGCTTGACAGAGATAGACTTCACATGTGCATTACCTGATTTACAATGGTCAAGACAATAAAGCAAATAAATAATAAAAACAACAGTGCTGATAATACATCAAGCCCTAGCCAAACAGACTCGCACGCAGACACAAGTCGAGAACTTTCAGTCTACTTGCAAATCTGTTTGGCCAGGCCTTGCGTTCACTTGTGTTGACTTGCAATGACTTGTGCTCACTTTGATCAAGACCAAATTTGCATCGACACAAAATTTTCACGGTTTGGCCACCCAACCCATTCATTGTTATACCAACCTACGTGTATTAGCCAATGAAATAAAGATATGTCTGCCTTGAAATGGGTTTTTTGGCGACTTGTATGAACTTGCAAGGAAACTTGTGAGTCCGTTTGGCCATCCAGTACAAAGGTGTATGCAAATTCAACTTGCAGCTACTTGCATGCTCATTTGGCCAGGGCTTTAAAGAGTTTTTATCAAATGAAAACAGAGGTACATGTAGGTATGTTGTAGTTGAAGTCAAGAATCTCTTCACTTAGATGTGCTTCCTTCTGCCTGCTTGTCTGGCTTGACAATTGTTTCAAGGAGTTTTAAAAAAGTGTCTATGAAGTAACAAATAATTGCAGCTTCTTATTTGAAAGCCTTTTCAAAATAAAGAGGACTAGCATTTCTTCGTTTTGGAATATCTTCTTTCATTTTATTGATATATATGTTTTTGTATTATGTAAATGAGGAAAGTAAATGGTTCCACTAAAACAGTAAAATACTGAATCAAGTCAGAATATCTGTAGAAATATTGGCGCGGTGTTCCAACCTGGCACCAGAAATGTACAGAATTATGTACATCATAAAAGACACAGAATGACACCTGTTGTGCCATTGATGACCGCAACACTCTTCACTCCAGACTCTTTCTCTCAAAAGCCAATTTTTTATTCCCATTTGCAACTCTTAAAGTGAGGCAGAAAGTTCTACTCAGAACACACATGGTGCCCATATTGTCTTAGCTCTCCTCATTAGATTGTTGGGAATCGAAGACAAAAAAGACAAAAACTGGGAATCTCAGTCTTATTAAAACAGGATCAGCGACAAAACTGTGATCATGGCAGTAACACAAAGGGTGTCATTTTGTCATTTCAATCATTTCAAGATATTTTCTTGTTATATTTCCTTCCTCTCTTCAAGAGAAACAAGAATAGAGCAAAACAAAAAAATCACTTCAACTATCTAGTTTGTGTGGTTGCCCTTAGTAATAAGTAAAAAAATAGATAAATAATAAACAAATAATTTTGTTAATGATTATTATTCTGTGGCAGATAGCAAAGACTGGCTCTATAAGACTATTATTCACAGAATTACTTCTTTCTCCATAGACAATCGACGAAATGCAAGAAAAGCATGTTTACCCAAACAGGAAACTATATTTGGCCTTGATGGATGTGTTGTCAAAACGTGGACACAATTCTGTGATTGTAGAGGTATTTATTCCTGGCATGCATGATAAAACAGCTTTCAGTTGAGTGTCATACACCTGTATAACCCAAACCAAACCAATTACTTACCAGTTAGATCACTCAGCCAATCTCAATTGCAATAAGACCACTAAACCAAAACCAAAGTAATTGCCTGATTAATTACATTCAACACTCAGTTGAAAACTGTCCTGTGTTTCGTACTGAAGTTATTCTGTTCCAGTGATAGGGAACTCTCTGGTCTTAGTATTGTTAACTTTCTTAAATCTCTCATTTTACTATTCACCCAACAAAAACACCCTAGCTAGGAACAGCATATGGACCTTTTAGTCAAGAAAATAACTTTGCAAGAAGTCATTCTGAAACCTGCCACAAAAAATGCATTTCAGTGGTTGGTTGAGAAAAATTAAAGGCTGGAGTTTCGATGCATTTAATGCAACAAGGAGATCACCTGTGAAGAAAATGCATCCTTCACAGAGCTCAGGGAAAATGACCCATTTGTTGTCCATAAATGTTATAGTTAAGGACTTCAGACATTTTCTTTCAATTGTCTACTCATGTTGCAGAGCACATTTTACATGTTAGTAATATAACACTAGGGTGCAAAGAAGCTTGCCCCTCATGATATCCTGCATGTCCAAAAGTCCTTGGGACACCTAGCTTACACTGTGGGCTGAAACACAAAATAGATGTCTTCCTACTCTTGCTACGAAATGATTTCTAAGAGTTTTATCTAGTTATTATTATTACTGGCCAATGAAAAGGAAGAAACAATGTATAGTACATTACTGATAATTATACTGGAGAGGATGTTATTGAAAAGTGCAGCAAAAGTATTTTTTTGTCAATTTTATTTAAGCTCCTTCGAAAACCTGTTGTGAAGAGCCTTGTAATAGGAGGTAGGTATAATTGACTAGAATTAATTATGTTGACCATTAATTTGCTAGTACCCACTTACTGCTGAACGGATAGAGATAAAGTGAGATTTATAGGTAGTGATGTGCATAAGAACACAACCTGAATTAATAATTAA